GGAGTCAGGATGTTTGAGGCCAGCCTGACCAATCATAGAGACAACCCATCTCTACTAAAATAATACAAAATTAAGGCTGGCGCGTGCTCACTGAGATCCAAGAGTTCAGACCAGCCTGGTCAACCATGGATAAACCCAGTCCTCTACTAAAATAAATACAAATCTAGCCGGGTGTGGTGAGCGTGCACCTGTAATCCCAGGTTTATCTCGGTAAGCTGAGCAGGAGAACTGCTTGAGCCTGGAAGCTGAGGTTGCAGTGAGCCCATCACGCCACTGTACTCCAGCCTGGGCAACACAGCCTATACTCCATCTAAAAAAAATAAAATTAAAATAAATAAATAAATAAAAACCTCAAAAGCAAATGCAACAAAACCAAAAATAGACAAATGGGCATAAAGGAAAAAGCTCCTGCACAGCAAAAGAAATAACAGAGTAAACAAACAACCTGCAGAATGAAAGAAAGTATTTGCAAAATATGCATCCAACAACTACAACAAAAATGCTTGCACCTGTATGTTTATTGCAGTACTATTTGCAATAGCAAAGGTATGGGATCAACCTAAATGTTCATCAATGAATGAATGATTAAAGAAAGTGATACACACACACACACACTGGAGTACTATTCAACCATCAAAAAGAATGAAATCATGTCTTTTGCAGCAACATGGATGGAACTAGAGGCCATTGTCTTAAGTGAAATAACTCAGAAAGTCAAGTACCACATGCTCTCACTTGTAAGTGGGAGGTAAATAATGTGTGCACATGGACACAGACAGTGGAATAATACACATTGGGGACTCAGAAGGGTGGGAAGGGGGTGAGGGATTGAAAATTACTTAATGGGTACAATGTATACTATTTGAGTGACAGCTACGTGAAAAGCCCAGGCTTCACCACTATACAATATATCCATGTGACAAAAGGACACCTGTACCCCTTAAATCTATAAAAATAAAGTTTTGTTTTTGTTTTTGTTTTGAGACAGAGTCTCGCTCTGTCACCCAGACTAGAGTGCCGTGGCACAATCTTGGCTCACTGCAACCTCTGCCTCCAGGGTTCAAGTGATCCTTCCTCCTCCCAAGTAGCTGGGACCACAGGCGTGCAACACCACACCCAGCTAATTTTTGTATTTTTAGTAGAGACGGGGTTTTGCCATGTTGGCCAGGCTGGTCTTTAACTCCTGGCCTCAAGTGATCTACCCGCCTCTGCCTCCCAAAGTGCTGGGGTTACAGGTGTGAGCCATCACACCCGGCCTAATTTTGTTTGTTTTTTTGAGACAGAGTCTCACTCTGTTGCCCAGGCTGGAGTGCAGCGGCACAATGTCTGATCACTGCAACCTCTGTCTGCTGGGTTCAAGCGATTCTCCTGCCTCAGCCTCCCACATAGCTGGGATTACAAGCACCTGCCACCATGTCTGGCTAATTTTGTATTTTTTTTTCTTTTTCTTTGCATAGATGGGGTTTCACCATGCTGTCCAGGCTGGTCTTGAACTCCTGGCCTCAAGTGATCTGCCCACCTTGGCCTCCCAAAGTGCTAGGATTACAGGTGTGAGCCACCACGCTCAGCCAAGTTAAATTTTTAAAAGGCTTGTAAAAACGAAATACTTCTGGTAAACAAAGAACACTATATATAAAGTTTAAACAAATTGTGACTGACTGGAAAAGATACTTGATACACAAGCATAGACACATGCATGCACACTGAAATATAGAAAAGATATTTGCTACATGTGTATCTGAGAGTACACACAAACATATCTGACAAAGAACTTCTGTAATCAGCAAAATAAGACAAGTAACCTAATAAAAAATTTGCAAGACAAATAAAGAAGTACTTCAAAGAATGAGAAAACTCAAATGGCTAATAAGTATAAAAACAGAAGATCAACCTCCTCTGTAGTCAAATGCAAATTAAAATTAAAGATACTACTTGAAAATACTAGATTGGCAAAAATTAAGAAGTTTTATGATATTAGTACTGGCAATAATATGAGGAAATGAAACACGTATTGTTCACAGGAATATAAATTGGTGCAGCTATAATCTAGAGCAATTTGGCAGTATTTAGTGAAAAAGCTACATGCATATTTTACAGGATCCAGAAATTCTACTTCTCAGTATATACTTTAAACTGACTCAGGAATACAAAGAGGCATAGACATCTATGAAGAAATCCCTTGCAGCACTATTTGTAATAATAACCAAAGAACTGGAAACAATTATCTATCAATCAATAAATAAAATGCTGTGATATTAGTATTTGATAGAACACAACCCAACAGTGAAGAGGAATTATTAATATATGAATATGGACAGACCTCAAAAATAATATTGAGTGAAAAAAAGAAACAGGCTGGGCGGGGTGTCTCATGCCTGTAATCCCAGCACTTTGGGAGGCCAAGGTGGACGGATCACCTAAGGTCAGGAGTTCGAGATCAGCCTGGCCAACATGGTGAAACCTCATCTCTACTAAAAATACAAAATTAGCCAGGCATGGTGGCACATGCCTGCAATTCCAGCTACTTGGGAGGCTGAGGCAGGAGAATCACTTGAACCCAGGAGGTGGAGGTTGCAGTGAGCGAAGATTGTGCCATTGCACTCCAGCCTGGGTAACAAGAGTGAAACTCCGTCTCAATAAAAAAGGGAAAAAAAAAGAAACAATGAGATGTACAGCACAATATAATTCATGCCATAAAAGGAAAAAATTTTACCCATAGAAAATACCATAGACTGTGCATGAATATATGTATGTCTAAATAAATATATGGAAGATGGCTTGGAAGGACACACATCAAATACCCAAGAGTAGATGACTATGGGTGAATAAAAGAAGGAAATTGGATCAGGGACGAGGACTGAACAAGACAAAAACTAAACCATAATCAAATATAAAAGAGGAGTCATGCATGGACTGATATGACCAAGGATCATAAACTGAGGAGGCTGTCTGAACAATCATTTTCGGTGTTTCTGGAGCATAAGCCAAACACAAAATAAAAATTTCCTCACCTTGAAATACCATAAAAGCAGATGCTTAAAGGAAATATTTAAAAAGTAAAAGAGAAAGAACTGGCCACCTGCCTGTCAGGTAGCTTACCGGAGTACACAACACATGAGCAGCAGATGGGTGGGGACATTAGCTGGATTGAGCATACTGGGAGTGTCTGACTTCATACAGGCCAGGAAGGCCCGCATCCTTCTGTTCTTGTCTTCAACTGCTTTGCCTAGCCAGAGCTTCTTGAGGTTTGGGCAAGTCCATTCCCGAAATGTCAGTGCAGACACCAGCTCAGGGGTTTGAGGTGACTTCCCTTTATAGGCAGACCACTCTTTAAGGATCACTGAAGGAACTGGAAAACAGAAATTGAGGAAAAAAGAGGCTCTAGAGAATCTCTTAGCATTTCTACAGCTAGCCACAGGACATTGACAGGCTCCATCGCATTTCAACTCCTAATTTTCTGTCACAATAATTTTTATTTTTAGCAGCAGGAATAGTACATGTTTATGAAGTGCTTGATATGCAAGTACTTTATATATATTATCTCATTTACTCCCCACAAAAAATCCTGAGTGGGAACTATTATGATACATTATCACAAAACAAAATGCTCATTTTGCAGATAAAGAAATCAAGGGGCCGGGGGTGGTGGTTTACACGTTTAATCCCAGCAATTTGGGAGGCTGAGGCAGGAGGATCGCTTGAGCCCAGGAGTGTAAGACCAGCCTGGGCAAGATGGAGAGATCCCACCTCCACAGAAAGTTTAAAAATTAGCTGGGTGTGGTGGCACGTGCCTGTAGTTCCAGCTACTTGGGAGGCTGAGGCAGGAGTATCCCTTGAGCCTAGGAGTTTGAGGCAGCAGTGAGCTATGATCTTCCCACTGCACTCCAGCCTGGGTGACAGAGTGAAATCCTGTCTCTAAAAATAAAATAAAATAAAATAAAATAAAATAAAATAAAATAAAAAGGCCAGGCGTGGTGGCTCATGCCTGTAATCCCAGCATTTTGGGAGGCCGAGGTGGGCAGATCACTTGAGGTCAGGAGTTCAAGACCAGCCTGGCCAATATGGTGAAACCTCGTCTCTACAAAAACAAAACAAAACAAAACAAAAAAACCAAAAAACAAAATTAGCCAGGCATAGTGGCGGGTGCCTGTAATCCCAGCTACTCTGGAGGCAGAGGCAGGAGAATCGCTTGAACCTGGGAGGCGGATATTGCAGTAAGCCAAGATCAAGTCACCACACTGCAGCCTGGGCGACAGAGCGAGACTTTGTTTGAAAAAAAAAAAAAAAAAGTAACTTGGAGAAATAAATCAAGGTCCAATGTCACACATTTCTTAGTTACTCTGAATCTTATTTTTTCAGTAGATGCACGAGGCTAGGCAAGGAAAGAAGCACAAAGAAGAATTATGTAAATATCTGGCTTTATAATACACAATGAGATACCCCAAAAGACATTAAGATATTTCACAAAATTCTCGAAAAAATCAGCATCTTTCAGATTTACAAAGGCAGGCTGGGCGCAGTGGCTCACGGCTGTAATCCCAGCACCTTGGGAGGCTGAGGTGGGCAGATCACCTGAGGTCAGGAGTTCAAGACCAGCCTGACCAACATGGAGAAACCCCATCTCTACTAAAAATACAAAATTAGCTGGGCGTGGTGGCGCATGCTTGTAATCCCAGCTACTCGGGAGGCTGAGGCAGGAGAATCACTTGAACTTGGGAGGCGGAGATTGCAGTGAGCCGAGATCGTGCCATTGCACTCCAGCCTGGGCAACAAGAGCGAAACTCCATCTCAAAAGAAAAAAAAAAAAAGATTTACAAAGGCATAACAGAGCAGGAAAACGTGGCTTCTATATATTTCTACTCCACCTCAGATTCCTCAGCTATGGCCTCCCTCTTCTATTTGAGATGTCAAGCATCTATTCAGTCACCCAAGCAAGAGACTTGGAAATCATTCCAAAGCCTTCTTTCTTTTCCATGTCCTACACATCTGGTTATTAACAAAGTCTTGCTGATTCTACCTCCTTATAATCCCTTCTAACTGTCCTGTTTTCTCTTTCACAGCAGCGGTTCAAATATTATCTTTGACCTGACAAGAGTCTCAAGACTGTTTCTACCTTTATCCTGTTTGGTCTCCCTCACACCCGTGCTCCACAACCACTAGAATGTTCTTATTTAAACAAATTTTTTAGTTTGAAATAATTATAGATTCACAGGAAGTTGCAAAGATAGTAGAGAGAGGTCCTGTGTACCCTTCGCCCAGTTTCTCCAATGGTGTTATCTCTTAAATAATTATAATACAACGTCAAAGCCAGGAAAGTGACATTGGTACAATGTAAGTGTGTAGTTCTACGTTGTATGGATTTGTGTAACCACCACCGCAATCAAGATACAGAACAAACCCATAACCACGAAGATTTTCATTGTGCCAACCCTTTACAGTCACAAACAATGACTTCCAGCACCATCCCTAACTTACGGAAACCACTAATCTATTGTCCATCTACAATTTTTTCATTTTGAGGACATCATATAAGTGGAATTATATAGTATACGACCTTTTGAAACTGGCATTGGCCGGGCGTGGTGGCTCACACCTGTAATCGCAGCACTTTGGGAGGCTGAGACAGGCGGATCACCTGAGGTTGGGAGTTTGAGACCAGCCCGATCAACATGGAGAAACCCTGTCTCTACTAAAAATACAAAATTAGCTGGGTGTGGTGGCACATGCCTGTAATCCCAGCTACTCGGGAGGCTGAGGCAGGAGAATCACTTGAACCCAGGAGGCGGAGGTTGCAATGAGCCAAGATTGCACCATTGGACTCCAGCTTGGGCAACAAAAGTGAAATTCCATCTTAAAAAAAAAAAAAGAACCTGGCATTTTCACTCAGCATGTGCCCTTAAGATCCATCCATGTTGTTGCATGTATCAATAGTTCATTCTGTTTTTTTTACTGAGTAGTATTCCATGGCATGGATGTACCACAGTTTAATCATTCACCCACTGAAGCATATCTGGGTTGCTTCCAGTTTGGGGTTATAATGCTGTCTTGTGAATATGTTCCTGCATGAAAATAAGTCTTCAATATAAATGCCCAAGAGTGTAAGTGCTGAGTTGTATAAGTCTATTTTTAGTTTTGAAAGAAAATGACAAATTATTTTCCAGAATGGCAGCACCATTTTACATTCCTGCCAGCATTTATGAGTGATCCAGCTTCTCTGCATCCTCTCCGGGATATGGTGTTATCACTATTATTCACCTTTGCCGTTTTGGTAAGTATGTAGTGATATTTCATTGTGGTTTTAATTTGTATTTTTCTAATGGCTGCTATGTTGAACATCTTTTCATGTCTTTGCCATATGTATATCTTCTTCAGTGAAATGTCTGTGCATGTCTTTTGCCAATTTTCTAATTCAATTGTTTTTGTTATGTTCAGTTTTGAGAGTTCTTTATATATTTTAGAAACTAGTATAGATATGTGGTACTTGTTCAACTATGGATGTCCAGTTGATCTAACACCATTTATATAAAAAACAAACAACAACAACAACAAAAAACTATCCTTCCTCCAATGAAGTGCTTTTGCAGCTTTGTCAAAAATCAGTTTGCTGGCCAGGCATGATGGCTCACACCTGTAATCCCAGTTGAGGCTGAGGCAGGAGAATTGCTTGAGCCTGGGAGACAGAGGTTGCAGTGAGCGGAGATCGTGCCACTGTGCTCCAGCCTGGGCAATAGAGCGAGACTCTGTCTCAAAAAAAAAAAAAAAAAAGCAGTACTCATATGGGACTATTTCTGGATGCCCTGTTGTATTCCATTGATCTATGTGTCAATACCTCTGCCTATAATCTTTTTTTTTTTTTTTAAGACAGGGTCTCACTCTGACACCCAGACTACAGTGCAGTGGAGTGATCTCAGCTCACTGCAACCTCTACCCACTGGGCTCAAGTGATCCTCTCACCTCAGCCTCTTGAGGAGCTGGGACCACAGGTAATACACCACCACACCTGGCTATACATATTTTTTGTATTTTTAGTAGAGATGGGGTCTCTCCATGTTGCCCAGGCTGGTCTCGAATTCCTGAGCTCAAGGGATCCACCCACCTTGGCCTCCCAAAGTGCTGGGATTACAAGCGTGAGCCACCATGCCTGGCCTACAATCTTAATTACTGTAGCTACCTAGTAAGTCTTACAATCAGGTTCAGCAATTGCTTTCAACTTATTCTTCCTTTTCAAAAATCATTTTAGCTAGTTTAATTCCTTTGTCTTTCCACATAAACATTAGAGTCATCTTGTCTATATTTACAAAGAATCTTGCTGGGATTTGGATAGGAATTGCATCACACCTGTGTTATCAATTTGGGGAGAACTGACATCTTTACTATGTTGAGTTTTCTAATCCATGAACATCTGTATCTCTCCATTTATTTAGATCTTTGATTTCTTTCATCAGCATTTTGTGACTTTCAGCATACAGACTTTGAACACCTTTTGTTAAATTTTTAACTATTTCATTTTCTTTGGAAGGACTGTAAATGGTCTTGTACTTTGTTTCAGTTCCACATATTCATTGTTAGTATATATAGAAAGGTAATCAATTTTTATATATTTATCTTGTATCCTGCAACCTTAACAAATTCACTTATTAGTTCCAGGAGTTTTGTTGTAGATTCCTTGTGATTTTCTACATAGACTGACTATATACCACCTGCAATTACAGTTTTATTTCTTCCTTACTGATGTCTATGTCTTCTATTTCATTTTCTTGCCTTACTGGTCTGGCTAAAACTTCTAGTACTATGTTGAAGAGCAGTGGAAAGAGTAGACATTCTAGCCTTCTTCCTGATTTTAGAAGAAAAACATCTTTCACCATTAAGTACAGTTGATCCTTGAACACAAGTTTGAGCTACACGGGTCCACTTATGCACAAATTTTTTTCAACCAAACACTGACAGAAAACACAGAATTCACATGATGCCAAACCCACGTATATAGGGGGCCAACTTTTCATATACACAGGTTCTGCAGGGCCTACCTACTGTGGGACTTGATTATGAGTGAATTTTAGTATATGTGGGGGTCCTGGAACCAATCCCCCATGTATGGCAAGGAATGACTCTATGTTAGCTGTAGGTTCTTTGTAGATATCCTTTATCTTGAGGAAGTTCCCCTCTGTTCTTAGTTTCCTGATAGTTCTTATCATGAATGAGTGTTGAATTTTGTCAAATGCTTTTTCTGCATCCATTGATATAATCACATGATTTTTCTTCTTTAGCCTGTTTATTTAGTGGATTATATTTATAGATTTTTCAAATATTGAACAAGTCTTACAACAATGGAATAAATCCTACTTGGCCTTGGCCAGGGCATGTAATTCATTCTATATATAGCTGAATTCCCCTGGCTGATATTTCATTAAGAATTTTTGCATCCATATTGTCTTAGTCAATTTGGGCTGCTATAACAAAGTACCACAGACTAGGAGGCTTATAAACAACAGAAATTGATTTCTTACAATTGTGGAGGCTGGGAAGTCTAAGATCAAGGTATTGGCAGAGACATTTGGTGAGAACCTGCTTCCTGGTTTGCAGATGGCTGTCTTCTCATTGTATCCTCATATAGTGGAGAGTAGAAAGGGCTATCTGGGGTTCCTTTTATAAGGGCACTAATCTCATTCATGAAGGTTCCACACTCATGACCTAATTACCTCCCAAAGGCCCCATCTCCTAATAGCATCACATTGGGGGTTAGGATTTCAACATATGAATTGCGGGGGACAGGAACACTCAATCCATAACATATATTGATGAAGGATACTGGTCTGAAGTGTTGTTTTTATGTACTCCCTTTTCTTTTTAAGAGATGAGATGGCCAGGCGCAGTGGCTCACGCCTGCAATCCCAGCACTTTGGGAGGCCGAGGCAGGCGGATCATGAGGTCGGGAGATCGAGACCATCCTGGCTAACACGGTGAAACCCCGTCTCTACTAAAAATACAAAAAATTAGCCAGGCGTGGTGGCGGGTGCCTGTAGTCCCAGCTACTCAGGAGGCTGAGACAGGAGAATGGTGTGAACCTGGGAGGTGGAGCTTGCAGTGAGCCGAGATCATTCCATTGCACTCCAGCCAGCAAGACTCCGTCTCAAAAAAAAAAAAAAAAAAAAAAAAAGAGATCTTACTCTGTTACCCAGGCTGGAGTGCAATGAAGTGATCACAGCCCACTGCAGCCTCAAACTCCTGGATACAAGCAATCCTCTGGCCTCAGCCTGTGAAACAGCTGGGACTACAGGTATGCACCATGCTCAGCAATACTAAATAATTTTTTTTTTTTTTTTAGTGATGGAGTCTCACTATGTTGCCCAGGCTGGTCTCAAACCCCTGGCCTCAAGCATCTTCCCGCTTGGGCCTCCCTAGGTATTGAGATTACAGACGTGAGCCACCATGCCTGGCCCAGGTATCTTTTTTGATATAATGATTTATTTCCCTTTGAATGTATAACCAGTAGTGCGATTGCTAGATCGAATGGTAGTTCATTTTTTAGTTCTTTGGGAAAACTTTGTATTATTTTCTATAAAGGTTGTACTAATTTACATTCCTACCAACAGTATAGAAACATCCCCTTTTCTCTGCATTCTTGCCAACATCTGTTGGTTTTAGACTTGGTTCACTGCATCCTCCACCACCCAGGTTCATGCGATTCTCATGCCTCAGCCCCACTCCCCTTCTCGCCACCCTCCACCCCCTCGAGAAGCTAGGATTACAAGTGTGTGCCGCCATGCCCAGCTAATTTATTGTGTTTTTAGTAGAGACGGGTTTCGTCATGTTGGCCAGGCTGGTCTCAAACTCCTGGCCTCATGTGATCTGCCCGCCTCAGCCTCCCAAAGTGCTTGGATTACAGGCATGAGCCACTGCACCCAGCTCATTGTGTTTTAATATGCCTTTCTCTGATAGCTAGTGATGCTGAGTATTTTTTCATATATTTGTTGGCCACTTGTATGTCTTCTTTTGTAAAATGTCTGTTCTTGTCCTTTGCCTACTTTTTAATGGGGTTATTTGCTTTTTTCTTGTTGAGTTCCTTGTAGATTCTGAATATTAGCCCTTTGTCCAATGCATAGCTTGCAAATATTTTTCCCATTCTGTAGGCTATTTACTCTGTTGATTGTTTCTTTTGATATGCAAAAGTCAAACATGTTTATAACTGTTTATCAAAGCATTTTTATAGTGGTTGTTGTGAAATCCTTGTCAGATAATCAAACTTCTATCATCTCTATGTTCATTTTCTTTTCTTGAGGTCTGAATTTGATATCTTTCTGGTCCTAGGTATGATGAGAAATTTTCCATTGAAAACGACATTTTGGGTATTATTTTAAAAGACTCTGGATCTTACTTAAACCTTGTGTATCAGTAGGCCTTTTCTGATCCCACTATGGTGGGTGAAGGGGGATACTGTGTCATTATTGACAGGTGAAAGTGGAAGTCCTGGCTCCCCACTTGACCTTGACCCTCCCCAGCAGGAGCAGGTAGGGGCACCTCATTACAGCCTGGGTAAGTATGGAAGTCTAAGTTCTTCATTTGGCCTTTGCTGGGAGGGCTGGGGGTAGACCACAGTTTTCCTGTGGTATTTGGCTGGAGTACAGAGATTATTATTTTAAAATCTTTGTGTTGTTAGGTTGTTCCTTTCTGGTCCTTTGGCCAGAGAAAGTAGGTTTTGTGGGGGGCTTATACTGGTCTGCAGCTGTTGACATTTATGGGCTGCCAGTTTGTCCCACACCCAGTCTGGAATATGTGAGGCAAAAAAAAATTCAGGGAACTCACCACTGCACCACTGTGTCATTCCTTGGGCCCCAAGATTTCTACTTTCTAGTGTCTTGTGCTTGTTTTATGAATAATGTCCTGGGCTTTTAGTTGTACTTAGCATGAGGACTAAGGAAAAGTACATCTGATCAACTCTATCTTCCCAGAAACAGAGAAATGTTCTTTTGAACACACTAATTTGACTATGGCACTGTGTAGCTTAAAATACTTCAGTGTCTCCAACTACCTACAGGTTCAAATCCCAAAACAAAAAAATCACGGGAGAGAGACTGTTAGATACACCTCTATGTTCCCAAAGCCCAGTATGGTTCTTTCTTTTTGTATGTGAGACAGGGTCTCCTGTCACCCAGGCTGGAGTGCAGTGGCACGATCACAGCTCACTGCAGCCTCAACCTCCCAGGGTCAAGCAATCCTCCCACCTCAGCCCTGCAAGTAGCTGGGACTAGAGGCACATGCCACCATGCCCAGCTAATTTTTTTTTTTTTCCTGAGATGGAGTTTCACTCTTGTTGCCCAGGCTGGAGTGCAATGGCACGATCTCAGCTCACCACAATCTCCGCCTCCTGAGTTCAAGCGATTCTCCTGCCTCAGCCTCCCGAGTAGCTAGGATTACAGGCATGCGCCACCATGCCTGGCTAATTTTGTATTTTTGGTAGAAAGGGGGTTTATCCATGTTGGTCAGGCTGGTCTCAAACTCCCGACCTCAGGAGATCCACTCGCCTCGGCCTCCCAAAGTGCTGGGATTATAGGCATGAGCCACTGCACCTGGCCTGTTTTTTTTTCTTTTTTTCTTTTTTTTTTTTGAGACAGGGTCTCACTCTGTCACCTAGGCTGGAGTACAGTAACATGATCAGGGCTCACTGCAGTCTTGACCTCCCAGACTCAATCAATTCTCCCATCTCAGCCCCCCAAGTAGCTGGGACTACACGTGTACACAACCATGCCTAATTTTTTAGATTTTTAGTAGAGGCGGAGTTTCTCCATGGTGCCCAGGCTGGTCTTGAACTCCTGGACTCAAGTGACCTATTCGCCTCGGCCCCACAAAGTACTGCGATTACAGGCATGAGGCACAGCGCCCAACATTTTTTCTAGTGATGGAGTCTTGCCATGTTGCCCAGGCTGGTCTTGAATTCCTGAGCTTAAGTGATCTGCCTGCCTTGGCCTCCCAAAGTGCTGGGATTACAGGTATTTATAAGTAGTAGTCACTCTAAATGTTTGATAATTGCAGAATTGGGGCTTAAGTTAATGTGTTCCCAGTATCAGTATGCATTTTGTTGAATGTTACATTTTCTTAAAGACTACTGCATAGCCAAAGGTACCCAATGTGCCTGAACAGACATATCTGTTCTGTGTCAAGTGCTGAGAGAATTGTCATAGCTAGAACTACACTTACCTTCCACAGGTAGCCGCCGTCGCATGGCCAAGCGTTCCATTTTCCTCTGTGTCTCTGCCAGACTAAAAAGAACTCCATATACATACTGACGAGCTGACCGGAATAAGAGAGCAGCTGGAGGCAGCTCCATGTTACACTCATCCTCAATACATACGGGAATCTTAATTTCACCCTAACAAGAGAACATTCCAGGGAAAAGGAAAAAATGAGTTACCTCAAGGTTTAGAACTGAGCTGAGAAGAACCAATAATAAACTGTAACCTCTGTGGCCTATCCACTAAATTTTTAATTTGTATTTAGACAGAGTTTCATACTAAAAAGAAGCTGTAACAAGCTTAGCCGATTGCAGCTAACTTATAAGCTATATTTCATTTTTAAAGTTTCAACGGACCGGCACGGTGGCTCAAGCCTGTAATCCCAGCACTTTGAGAGGCTGAGGTGGGCGGATCACCTGAGGTCAGGAGTTCAAGACCAGGTGAAATCCCGTTTCTACTACAAATACAAAAGTTAGTCAGGCATGGTGGCGGACACCTGTAGTCCCAGCTACTCAGGAGGCTGAGGCAGGAGAATCGCTTGAACCTGGGAGGCAGAGGTTGCAGTGAGCCAATATCGTGCCACTGCACTCCAGCTTGGGCAACACAGCGAGACTCTGTCTCAAAAAATAAAATAAAATAAAGTCTCAACAATGACTATAGCTAACGAATGGGGAAAGTCCACGTTAGGTATTTTGCTGGAGGATGGATATGTAAAAGACCGGAGGAGGGGAACAGCTTTGCAGAAGTAGAAAAAGAAATAAGGAAAAGGGCATAAAGCCTCTTGGACTGTGTTCATCCCTAGAACCAGATTCCACCAACTTGGTGCATTATCTACTTCAAAATCTCACAATTACACTTATCTTCTAGGGGCCTCATTTACCACACAGTCCCAACTCCTGCTAGTCTGGCCTCACCTAAGGCCTTAGTATGATGAGGGGCCCACTGCATATGGCCTTCTTTTTCTAACTTCATATACCAATGATCAGAATGTTCTCTGGTAACATACAGTCCTAGGAAGTAGGAAGTACAGTGTTAAGAGCAGGGAGGTAGGTGCTGATGTGCTGCCTCACCTTAGTGAGGACATGGTAGATATATGGGTACATGAGACCCCTCCGGTGTCTGTGTTCAGCAACTCGCAAGACTTCTGGAGCTACTGGAGGTAAGGGTGGAATGGTGATATCCATGTGGTTCCTCGTAGACATAGACAGCAGAGATGGGATGTGGGGCTCACCATCACCTAGGCTCACTTCTGAAACTCCAGTATCAACAGGCTGTGCCCAGGACCCTCTGTCACGATTGGGATTTCCCCACTCAGGCTGGTGCTGAAATGCTTCTGTGATATGACTAAAAAATTTAGAAAGACAGTGTCAAACAAAAAAAGGGAGATTGATAAAGATATTCCTACTTAAGATGCCTGTTCTGGACCCAAGGGGTCTCACAAACCCTTTGGAGGCCAGGACACTGGGTTAGCACTGGACTGGTACCTTTCCTCTCAATGGCCATTACTGACTTCCTAGCTTCTTTCATCTGACACCAACCAAAGTGATCAAAAGTCATGGGAATCACTCTGGACCCTTTATACCTTGTAAGAGGCCATGTTTAGAGTTTGCTTATGTTTTAAGAAAATAATCACAATTACAACCTCAAAGCAGCTCTGTTTCCCAGGAATAATCTGCTTAGAGGAATAATCTGCCAACAAATGGGCTAGCACAAATCCCACTGTTTTAATCCTCAGAACCCTGTCTTAGTTACTAAGCAATGTAATTGCTTACTCAACGATTCCACTATTTCCACTCTATAAATGCTTTTCTTTTTTTGACATTTAATCTACCCTCCTCACAAATTAAGAAATGACAGCCACAATACCCATACGAAGGCTTCCTTAACTAGCTACTATGCTGCCTTTTACCTTAGTTGCCTGGGTGTTTGAAAATTATCATCTGCACAGGGCCAAATAAGCATGAAGTGGGCAAGCATAGAAAACGTTTTCCTGCTTTGCTTTCCTAAGAGCAAAACACTACAGAGGAAAGCCAGGAATTACACTTCCCCACACCCTCCACCCATCTAACAAGCAAAATAACACAGATGCCTCAGAAATCCATTTCCTTAGGTGTCTACAGAGATACTTACTCAGAGCTAGCTCCATTTGGCTCATCACCATCAGAGGAAGAGGAGTGGGAAGAGTCTGGTCCCAAAGGAGGTGAGGCTTTAGAAGGCAGGTAATTGGGAAACTGGGATGCAGAAGAGTCATAGGAGACAGCCCAATTGGCAAAGGGGTTGGTCTGCAGCATGGGATCCTCAGAAAAAGCATGGGATTCCCCCAAAGCATGGGAGGAGAAGAGAAGAGATGAGCTGGGTCCCACTGGGAATGGTGGTGGATATTTCACTTTCTGGGGCACTTGGTGAGAAAACTAAACGATAAAACAGACAGAAAAGCTATTTAACATTTTATAAGGCTCCAAGATGGCTCCCTCAGAAGTTGTGACACAGTGGATGATGCCAGTAGTGGAGACTGTTGAGATACAAAGTACCTACTTAATAATGAGAAATGATTCTAACAGTGATGTATGAACAGAATCCTCCACAGGCAGGACAATGAACAGTTGAAGTCTCCTAGAACTATTCTCTGATATTAGCTAATTGATTTTCACAATGATTAGTGGTTACTGATTTGGATGCTTTTGTTTTTGTTTTTGTTTTTGTTTTTTTTTTGAGACAGAGTCTCGCTCTGTCACCCAGGCTGGAGTGCAGTGGCGAGATCTCGGCTCACTGCAACCTCCGCCTCCCGGGTTCAAGCGATTCTCCTGCCTCAGCCTCCCGAGTAGCTAGGATTACAGGCATGCGCCACCATGCCTAGGTATGATGAGAAATTTTCCATTGAAAACGACATTTTGGGTATTATTTTAAAAGACTCTGGATCTTACTTAAACCTTGTGTATCAGTAGGCCTTTTCTGATCCCACTATGGT